AGCACCGTATCACACTGCCAGAAACACCCAAAAGTGGCAGGAAGAAAATGGTATCCAGAAGTTGCCCTGACTGAGCCAATCTCCTGACATGAACCCCATCGAAGACCTTTGGGCCATACTCGACCGGCAAGTCAAGAAATAACAAAAAAAAAACAACTTCAAAGAGCGATCTACTCCAAGTTTTGAAGCAAGAGTGGGCGAAAATCTCACCATCTAAAATTGATGAGATGATTCTCACGATGCCCCAAAGGATCGACGAACTCCACGAAGCGAAAGGAAGATCTACTAGATATTAATTAAATTATAAATATATCAATTCATGTGAATATGACTGAAAATTTTCATTTTTGTCTGAAAAGGTGGTGTCTATTTACTTGTGACCACGCTATGTACACAATCGGCTATCTGTTCTCTGCCCATCACAGGTATCGAAACCGGATTTTTAGTGTCGTAAGTCTGCAGACGTCCCGCTAAGCCACTGGAGAGCTATATCAAAGGATAAAACTGTGAATAAAAAGTTACGAAATCAAATGTTTTTAACTTGTTCATGAATATCACTTAAAATTTTTACAAGAGACAATTTTACCGAACATTGGCTCCCCCATTGGGTCCGCCATAAGTTTACGGACTTACAACGTTAAAATCCAGGTTCAATTCCCCGTGATGGATAGAACACAGCCTATTGTGTAGCTTCGCACTAAAACAAACATTATCAAAACTCGGGTTTCTATATTTTAAACATGAGAGACCCGAGAGAAGAAGAATTGTTTACAGATAAAGAAAGCAGCTTTAGTAGATTTATGATTTAAGCCATTTGAAAAAATATATATAAATAGAGCTGAATAATGACACACTGACAATAAAGTTGCCGTGACAGAAGATTACCCCTCTCTATCTCTAGGTGCCATATTTACCTTGAACGTTGGTCTCATGGTTCTCCTTAGGTTACCGTTTTTTGTATGTTTTAATATCTCAGTCAAACTGACGTCCATCCATTTGCTTATGCTACTGATGTAGTTTAACCTCTGTCTTCCTCGACTTTCTTTACACTCTATTTTTCTACTAATCACAATATTTTCAAGTTTTTCCTTTCTCATTATGTGCTCTAGGAAACTCAATTGTCTTTCTCTAATGGTTATGAAGGTTACCTACAATATAAAAATAATAACCTATAGTTACGGTTATGTCTCATGATATTCCTTCTAACTTGATCATATATAACTTTAAAGGCTTAATTTATAAACCTTTAAAAGTATATTGATTTATCCTTAATTGCTTTGACAATAATCAAATAACTTTTTCCGTGACAGAACAAACACCGTCACGCCAAAGGCACGTCATAACCAATAATGCGATCTGCTGCTATAAATATCGGCTATAGATTTTTTGTAACAGAAATTAGCAATTATAAGTTACGCTTTTTTGTTTTTCTAAATAAAAAATACACAATTGTTTTGATATTTATGTAAACCTTTTCTTCATCGCAATTTATTTGCGACTATTTTTGAAATGATTGAGCGCCATCTAGAGTTGAGTTTGGACTTGAACATTTAGGCCCAAATTTATTCGAGTTTTTCAACATCAGTTTCACCCCGAATCATATAAATCAACTTTGGTCCGATCAGAATTCGTGGTTCATGCAAATTCAGGACTGATCTGACTAACTATCCAGGGTCCGGCATGGCCAGGTGGTTAGGGCACTCGGCTCACAATCTGAGGGTCGTGGGTTCGTATCCCGTCCCACCAAACATGCTCGACTTTTCAGCCGTGGGGGCGTTATCATGTGACGGTCAATCCCACTATTCGTTGGTAAAAGAGTAGCCCAAGAATTAGCGGTGGGTGGTGATGACTAACTGCCTTCCCTCTAGTCTTTCACTGCTAAATTAGTGATGGCTAGCGCAGATAGACCTCATGTAGCTTTGCGCGAAATTCATAACAAACAAACTAACTAACTATCCGACCATTTCTATTGCCACTGGACAAATTCAGAATGACTACTTTAATATATATATCTACTCCCTCCCCTTCCCAAATAAAGTCGGTGCAAAACTACGCAAATGATTATCCGTACTCTATACCCCGCGGGAATCCAACCACGGATCTTAACGTTGCAATTGCCTAAACTAACCACTAAACCATCCGATTTATGTACAAGAGGTTAGGAAATCCATTTTTGTATTAATAGCCAAGTGTTATTCAGTAAAAAAAAAAGTAAACATTTTAAACTATTACAAATAATTTAATAGTGTAATGTCATCTAAAAATATCAAAATTCATATATATATATGGTTGTTAATGTTTAATATTTAGTTCATCAATGAAGTTAGCTACAAGCGCAAGCCTGAGAAAGGTATCGTTCACTTAAGGCGTTGTGGGGTATGTTTTTAAATGACCCGTTTTAGTTTTAAAGTTCTTTTTTTTGGGGCGGGTGGGAGAAGGGGTAATGTCCGTTACATAGGTAAGTGTCACCACGGGTATTCAAACCCGGTCTTTGGCGTATAAGTCTAGAGAAATACCGTTGAGCCACTGGGGGACTGCGCCCTTATAAACCATATTGTTTTTTTATATTTTCGTCTGGTTTCTGTAAAATTAAAGAACGTAAAATGGGCATAATTCTTCAGCAGCGTTAAACTGAACCCTACAATGTTTTTGATTGACAGCGTGATATGGCTTGAAATTTAAGATAACATTTTCAAGCTGTTTTTCAACTAAAGACATTTGATAGCCATAAACAGACAAACAGATAATGTC